CCCTCTGAAAAAGGACAAGTTGAAGGAGGAAGGCACTGCGTAAAGTTGTTTCTGGCTCAGTGGTGCAATAAATGTGCATTCTGGACTGTCTCCTACCTGTGTCTTGTAGTCTTGCGCGCCTGAGGCATTTTTTTATGCCTGATGCCGCGCCTTGCTCCAAATGGTCCAGTTTTGCACGAGCAGTTTCCATATTACAGCTGCTAGTATGTTTTGAAAACAATAGCAATTACACTTTAGTCTCGATATAATGAAGTGAACGAGGGAAAGAGATAGTTCTGAATAAACCTTTACGAGTTCTACACTATAACAAACTTGTTTTAATGTAAGGTGCAATTTCGTTGTCTCTATGCATACTCCACAGATATTTTTAGTTGTCTACAGTGGATAGTTCTAATTCACCTTTGTTGTGGAGCTGTGATGGTAAAATAGCCTAATCCTTTTGTGGGGTTTCTGCATGCTGATCTTTGAGGCTTTGTTTGGCTAACCCCAGAGTTTCATACACTATTACCTCGAGAGGAATCGTGCTGTGTGTACCTCAATGGGAATTATGGGAAGTACAGGCTTCGGATTGGATAGGGTCTGCTAGCGAACTGTCTACGGACATTTCTTTACAGTTTTGTTCTTGCCACAGTGATGGTAGTGAGGTGAGGTAAAAAGCACTAACAGCAGTGTCATTGTTTAGAGAGGCTGAAGACAGTGCACCAAGTCTGAAATTGGCTGTGCCTTCGTAGTCTTATTCGACCGTTAAAACAAAGCGTACGCTCGCCGCTGCCTAGGTTTCACTTTTGCTGCATTGTCACGAGAACGTTTTGCAGTGAAGTTGGCGTACAAGTAAATGAAGCAAGTTTCCAATATAAGTTCATATTACTTTTGTTTCACACTTGCAAAAGAAGTCTCTCGAATCTGAAGAACATGATCCATCTGAAGCAGAGCCGAAGCTTATAATTCCCATGGGGGTCCAAGCGCCTCTGAAGGAGCTCACGTAGACACTAGCGTCAGATTCCACTCTATGTATTATTGTATGAAACTCTGGCTAGCCCAGTTGTCTTTGATCACCCTGTAAAGCTCCACCCCCTACCAATATGCCAGATTGTATCGCAAGCCCCGTTTGTGAGAGCTTGCAGAGGCTATCAGCGTGTACAGCTGAAGTTTAGCCAGCTCTGTCGCATGAAAGCTTTTAGGAAGGGGTGCCTTCGAACAAGAGGGGTTAATTGCCACTTCGAACCTGAATGACTGCATTTGTACGTGCCTAGTTTCAATTTTAAAAACTGTCTGTTTCTGTATCTACTTGCTTTTTTTTTTATTTCTGCACATGAATAGGTGCATCCCGAACTAAGGCGTCATCAGAAGTTCTGTAGCGTATTTTTTTCGGTTGCAGTTCGATGCCCTTTTATGTAAAATGAAGCGAGGAAAAATTGAGCAGGCTCGTTGAGTGAAGAAGGCGGTTGCTCTGGTGTCGTGCATAAAAGATGCGGACCCAGCGAAGTAGACAGACATTTGTCCTAGTCGCCATCTCCAGTCCTTATATGTGTTAAAATTTCACCAGCTCACCAAACTTATTTTGCAACACCATCTAGTTGGATATTCGAAATTTTCGTATCAATTGCAGTTGGTGTGCTCATTCATCCAGTGCCTTGTCCAGCACAAAGTATGAGCAGCACCATCACCAGCAAATAGTCATTGTGCAATATTAGTCAACTGGTGACTGAACCAATTATGAGACTGCTATTGAATGAATGAGCACAGACCTGTCATTAAACAGCCACATTAGTCTGTTGTTTAATAAAAAAAGCACCAGTGTTAGGGTGTTATTGAGCGAAGAATATAGCAGCCTAATTAAGATAATCAACAACTATGATAACAATACAAATAGTGTCATGTGCTGTTTGTTGCTTGTACCTGCTTGCAAATGCCAAGTACCATCAGATCCTCTTCAGGGCAGTAGAGTATTGTTCATTATAAGCCGACTTTCATATGTTGCAGAGAATAAGCTGCTGATTATGATCTTAATTACTTCCTTTAAAATGTCATAGAGTACAGTAGCTACAGCCCTAAAAAAGGAACTTGGCAACTACAAATATTGTAATTAATTCTGTGTTACTTCGAAATTTTATTGCTGTAGTGCAATAACATAAATTCACTCGACAAGGAACTACTGAGGTTAGCATGGAGGAAGGAAAACTTCTGTGCATGGTAGGGAAAAGGCTGGGAGTCTTACCCCATATTCAGAAACGCTGCTTGACTTGAACTTGCTTCCCACCAACTTTGCGCTGCGTTGAATGCAGTATCAAGTCAAGGAGCGTTTCCGAGTACGGGGGTTACTGTGGCTTCTGTTGCATACCATTACAATTCACAGTAACTTTGAACAAGAGTTGTTTTAGCTGCGAAGCACATTAGGAGGCTCTGTTTGTCGGAGTCTGTTGTCATTGCGGTGTGTTGTGTAGTCACTGCATCGTAAAGTTCACTAACGTCATCCTATCATGATAACACATGACAGTTATGGCCACGGGCGTAGGCAGAATTTTTTTTGGGGGGGGGGGGGGGTCACCTCTTTGATCTGAAGCTGGGGGCCAGGAATGCCTGGTCCACTAAATATGAAGGGTAGCAGTTAGGCCAACATATAGCAGACAATGCTATTGGAGCTGAAACAACCTTCCCTACATGTCATGCGCAAGAGTGAAGGATAGTGTTATAACAAGAGAGCACCTAGTGCACCAGCTCCTAGCTGTGCAATGCGCTGATGCTAGTGTTCATGTCCTCTAAGAACTGTTGCGCTTCGTTGTTGCTAATATCAGGTAATGCCTTGTGGACAAGGTGTTGCAGTTAAAGCCAAGGAAAAGGTGAAAGAGGCTCTGTAGAGGCAGCTTGTCTCTTGGAGCAGTTGTATACTTACGGGGACGAGAACTGCTGTTGATTGATGTCGTTATTCGCTATTCAGGCAATTTCTTTCATTCCTGTCACCCATTCTAATGCATTATACTTTTGCATTCCCCTCTCTCACCTGTCAAGTTGAGCTGCGGAGTAGCAGTACATGCCAGTTTGCCTTCCTGGGCAGCATTTAAGTCGCAATCTTTGAGTCAGCTACTGAACACAGTAGTATCACCAAGGTTGATGCTTTTCAAATATAGTAGAAATAGCACATGAGTAGTTGTAATAGCACATGAGATGTAAGCAGTAGGTTTTAACATATTGCTTTCTGTATCGATGGTTTAAGCTATACCCAGTCAGATCTGCACTTGGACATCAAATTCATCTAACGAGTGCATTTAAGACTGCAATGCACAGTAATCGTAAGAACATGCTAGAGACCCTAGTACACAGGAGAAAGCACCCAGCTAAATGTGAATATGTCGGACCCAAAACAGGCATCTGTGTACGCGCTGCTTCTTTGATAAGATTTAAATCACTGCGTTATGAATATTGTGTAGGGTCAACAATAATTTGCACAAAAGTAATTTGCATACCTGTACCGTCAGGTTACATGCACAATTCTTGCCTTCATCAGGTTCGAGACATTATGTGTCCTAAATGAGCCCTGTTCTTGCAAATGGTACACCAGCCCTACACCAGGAGGTACCAGGATAGTGTACATACAAAGGCATATATTTCATAGCCAAATCTGGGTGCAACCTAGGTACAAAACAACCTTTTTCCATCCTTTTTACCTTTAAAATTACTTGCCCAGCACATTCCCATAAGCTGCAAGTGGGCATATTCTAAAATGTCCAACTGCAAAGGATGGGTCAAAATAACGACAATGAAGTTTTTAATGAATATACACCATGAAAGGTGCTCATATTGGCTGAAGGAGTAAGTTTGTCATAGATCCTTTGAACGGGTGTTCAGTGGTGTAATAATTTACTTTTTTGCCCTGAAGTCGCACAGCACAAGGTGCTTGAAGCATGTATGAAGATTACACCGGCGGAAGTAGTAGGTTTGTTGATGCTCCTTTGAACATGGTGTAATGATTTACTCCTTAGTCCATGTCTCGGCGCAATTTGGTTGCCGTTTCAAAGGGGTGCACATTATTGGAGGGCTCTGCCCTTAAAAGCTCCTGCGTATGTCTAAAACGACTAGAGAAGTGCTAAACAAGAAAAAAAGAGAAAGATATTTTTTAAAAATGTATGCCAGTCTAATAAATGATTCATCAAAGGCTACACCAACTACAGACGAGGCATCACACCTTTTCAGGAGTACTAGGTGTCTCTATGGTGGCTCAAAACCTTGCTCGAACGTAGCAGCAGCAATTTCGAGTAAAGGTGCCATTCTGGCTGGTTCTTTTACAATGACTCCCACAGTGGCTGTGTTATAACACTAGGGCATACCCTGAACAAACTTCAGGCTCACATTCAATGTGGAGCCTTCCAAGACATGCCAAATGAAAACGGAATTGCCTAGGTGAAACCGTACAAACACGTTGCTGTCTACCAGAATGAGGCATGCGCAGGTTAACATTTGCTTCGCAAGCATTGATGAAGACATTTCACATGAAATTTGAGGCTGCGATAAATGCAGCGCTGCATTTACATTTCAACATCGACAACACTATTGTACAGTGCAGTTTGAAGAGGGAAAACTTGACCATTAAACTAGACTGACGGAAGAAACTACAGACAGGAAAGACGCTCACTGAGCGTCTTTATTTTTGTACTTTCTGTCAGTGTAGTTTCAGCATCAAGCTTTTGTTTGCTCTTTGAACCATACGTCACACTAACCAACCCAACTGTTCACGATTCTATTGTGCAGCAGCCTTCACCGCACAGAATATGCTGCTTAACTCTCCCCAGCTTCAAGCATGTACTATGAGGATTGCGAAGTGTGGAAGAAACGTGGGCCTAGCAACAACTGTATTTGTTACTGTATTAGCATTCCCCAGCTTACGAACTGAAGACTGCACGTTGTTCCTAGCTGCTCATGAAGATGCTGGCTGTGAGTTTATGGCGGTTATCTTGCTACCCACATGTTTTAAAGATGGAGAAACAGCAAGGCACACTAGAAAATTGCTACGCCACAAAGCTTTGCTTTAATGTGGACATCAACAAACTATACATCCACACGAGGCAACGGATTAGGCAAGAACAGTAGCAGATTATGTTAACACTGCAAAGTGCGTCGTAAACATGCAGTAGTAAACAAGCGTGTTTTTTTTTATAACTGGAAAGAGAGGCATATACAACATAAACAGTTACACACGACAAGCTTATACATTGCCGCACCACCCAAGTGGTGTTATTAATTTAAAAAACAGCGACGATGGGATGCTTTCGCCATAAAACTGAAAATTTTCCACGAGTGATCGTTCGCTTCGATTCTCAATTTTTGTTATATTTCCTGGACAGGTAGGAAAAAAATGCCGCACCATTCGCTCGATATTCGACAGTTCTGGAACAACGTGCTGCTAAAAACACCTCTCCAACTTGTGTTGTGGGTTGCTGAGAATCTAAACCACATCTCCCAAAAACTCGTGCCCTCTTATACCTTTCAACCCAAAAAATCAAGTCACTTCAAGTCGCTGGAATCTTGGGCAGGCCGAACTCGTCCACCAGTATGCCTTCCTGATTGGCTGGCAGGCTCTCAGCTCCGGGTTCCTTGGTCGGGATCCTGGGGGCGCTGGCTTCGTCCAGGTACGAAGTGTCTTCGTCCAGCGCGATTTCGTCACCCAAGGCGTCGAGCTCGGCCTCCAGCTCGGCGTCGTCCACGTCGGGCATGCCGTAGCTGCGGCCCAGGGCTTCCTGGACGTCGTTCGCCTGGTCGAGCATGTCTTCAAGTTCGTCCTGCAGGTCGTCGATGTCGTCAAGGTTGACCTTCTTGTACTCGCGCTTCATCTCGCGCACCCCGAGCCGCATCGCGTCCATCGTGATCTTGGTGTCCTTTAGGGTCTGCGTGGCGAAGTTGGCCTGTTCCATGTTGAAGGACTGCTGCATCAGGTTGTCGCGTTGCTGCTCGTACATCTTGCGCTGCTTCAGGACGCGTAGCGCCTTCTGTTTGACCATGTTCTTGGACGGGCCTTCTCGCATCTTGGACATTTGGTCCTTGTACTTCTTCAGCTCGGCGTCAAGTTTGGCGATTTTCTTCTCCACAGACTCGGCTCGACCGTCGACGCTGGCGATGCAGTCGGTCAGGTTGGGCGGAGGTTCCTTGGGCTTGCCGCGTCCGAAGAGACGGTTCATTGTGCTTCTGTGTTGTTGTCGTTCGGGAAGGGGCTCTCGACGAAGCACGAAACAACACGACGCTGTCACGGAACACCTACGCTGTCAGAGCGACGCAATGGCGAGAAAAAAAACTCTTCGCGCAGCTATCGACCGACAAGATGGGCGGAGAAAGCGGGCGTCACGAAGCTGTCAAAAAAAAACTTTAGTAATAACACTACGCACCAATTTTAATGTACAAAAATGCAACGTAATTAGTTATTAAAAACGACTGTTTACAAGTTGCAGCGTTCTCTATGAACGTATATAACAACTATTTTTTGACAAAATTTTGTTTACTAATTGTATATAAAACTACATTATTGTCCATAGGTGTCGCTAACACAAATTAAAGCTTTTAAAATGTTTGTTAAAAATTTAGGTTGTTTAAAGCATGACCTACTACACTCCTGACCTGCCCAGAGAGCACCTCTTCCAGCGCCCACGTTCTAGTTCATACCTTCTGCCGCTAGGGCCGTCACCTACGAGCGGCGTGGCGCTAGGCAGCACCTGTTCGCTGACGTCACCTTCACTCTTTGTAGTCAAATTTTAACCAACAAAGCACTCGTAGTGCGAATTTATGATCCACAATTTAGAAATATCCAGAAATAATAATACTAAAAGACATTCAGAATTTTTTTTGCAATAAAATGCACGCGACAACGCATAGGCTGTCCAAAATCATGTAAATCCACGGGTTTCCACGTTTGTCAACCAGTGTGCTATAAATTCTTAAGCGCACTGAACAGCTTACTTGACCAGCAATGTATGGGAAGAAATAGTCACATATATGCCGACAGTTCACCACAGAAAGCAGGCATTCTTATACCAGCGCCTACAAAACAACCGTAAAGAAGCAGACGAACAGGTTATAGGTAGCGCCACCTACGGCGAGCGATTGAACGAGAGCGGGGACACGCGCTCCCATAGGAACCCCGCTATCTGAACAGGTCAGGAGTGTAGTAGGTCATGGTTTAAAGTGCACAGCTAAGCAGTTTACGTGCAGCATTAGAATAAGTAGTTGGTTTCGCAATGCTTGTTTGCGCGTAAATCGTTCCTAACGTCCGCAACTAAAAGAGGGAGAGCATATGAAAAATATAGCATATATTTTAGTATCACGACTAAAACAACGAAACTAACGAAAGTGGCCTAAAATACTAAACTAACAGATGCGGGGGAAAAAGGCCGAATTGACTCTAAGCTCGTCGTGCGCTGTGTGTTGCTGCCACACGGGCCGAGGCCGATTGTGCGGAAACTTTGTGCGGTCTAGTTTCTCGGGTGCATCGTGCAGCCATGGGTCTGGGCGACTACCCGCCGAGGAATGGCTTCGAAAAAACCATGAACGCTCTCTACGCCCTGTTCGACGCTCCAGTCACGTGGGTGCGAGGTAAGTTGTGCGGGAAAGGTCACTGTCTAGGACAGTCTACGGAGTTGTGGCGAAAGTGCCGCCGTGATTTCGCCGACGGCTCCAGCGTGAGTGTGAGGACGCCAGCGAAACCTCTTTAAACACGAGTTCCTTCATCCCGATCTAGGCGTTGATTCGCTGTGGCCTGAGCAATATCGTCTAACAGCCTGATGCGCGCGTGTTATCGCGTTTCCCACTTTCGCTTCGTTCGTTCGAAATGGCGAAATAAATGAACCGGATTTTCTTTATAGCGTGCCTTTAGTTTGCTAGCGCTGGGAGGACACTTGCGGACGGTCACGGTGGCCTAGTGCTCATAATGATCGACTACTGAACCGCAGGTCGCCGGATTGAATCCCGGCCGCACTTTCGGTGGAGGTGCAAACGCTCGAAGCCCGTGTGCTTGGATTTTGGTGCACGCTAAACGAACCCACAGGTGGTAGAACTCTCGGGCGCCCTTCATTCCACGCGTCTCTCATAATCGTATGGCGGTGTTCGGACGTTAAATCCCAACGATTATTAAGTGGATGACATGTGAAAGCTTACGCTTTGAGTTACAATCATGCGCAGTCACCAGTAGCGTAGCCAGAAACTACTTTTTTGCCATACTTTGTCTGTTTGTGTTTACGTTTGTATGCGTGTGTAAAATGCAGAATTGAAAAATTTCACTTGCAGAAAAAGATGAGTACAAACGACCATTGAATAGAACAGCTGATTGTGCTAACCTTTTTTTCTAATAATGATAATTGTTGTGGTTTTACCTCCCAAAATCACAATATAAGGCCCGCTTCAATGGAGGGCTCCGATAATTTTATCCGTCTGGTGCTCTTTCATGAGCAGTTAAATCCAAGTAAGCAAGCTTTCAGCATATTGCCTCGATGCAATTTTTTTCTCAGGGTACTGTGCATCGATTCACGTTTAAGTTACTTCGTTCTCTGTCGATTGATTTGATTCACTCTGATGTAGGGCACTTCACCTGGTTCATTGTTGATTTACACGCAATTCGCTTGATTCACGCTCAGTTAACTTGATTCACTCTTGCTTCATGTGGTTGACTCTAATGTATACTGATTTGAATTGAAGTTATGTGATTCATATTAAATTTGTTCTTCATTCGTTTATATTGATGTTGATGCACTCATAATTCACTTTATTGTACATTTAGTGAATTGTACTTTTAATCTTTGGGCATTATCTTATCTGTACGTATTTAACGTCGCCAGAATCTGGGCACCATTCATTTTCACGACAATGCCAAATGCTGGATTTTTCATCCAATGAGAGCCATGCAAGAGTCTCTCCTTAATAATCGGAAAGCCTCAGTTTCGTCACCGCTGCTCCAAAAAGAACATTTAGAAATAATTTGTTCTCGTGACTGAGGTATTGCCTTGTTTTGCAGTCCACGGGATTTTCATAACTGTGTGCAAGCTTTCAGAAGAATCTAGCGTCATTTTTTTTTCTTACACTTTTTCGAGGTCGTGACTGGCGTCCACACATTGCCGCCAGAGGGAAAGTGATGGTGTTTATCCAGCGATGCTATAGTTCTTGAGGCTGACATCTCTGACTTCACAAATGCGTGCACAGAATTCACCATCAAGTATCGCTGCAATGCCCCCCTCCAGTGCGACCATTGTGTGCCGTGCAGTGCGACCATTGCATGGTCACAGTGCATGTAAAAATGAAAGTAAAGTAGAAGTGCTGCTTGAAACGGCTTGCTTTTAGTCTCTGGCTTTCCGGGGCAACAGTGGGGGAGTAAGTCGTTTTTGAAAAGCAACATCAGGGGTCCTGGATTGCTGTTATTGTGTAAAACCTGCATGGCCACAATTCTGTGCGTTGACTACCGTAGCCATAAGTCAAGAATGCAGGGCCTCCTCCAGAATTATTTTTTTGCATTACCACGCAGAGAACATTGTCCTGCCAAACCGGCAAGAGAGGCCCGACTACGTCTGGTACCACCGCAAGTACCGTAGGGTGCCCACCATCGATGAGTGCTACACGGATGACCTGATGTGCAAGTTTGAAGCCAACGAGCAGTACAAGCGAGACAGGTAGCTTTGAGTGTCTGTTTAATTCAACCGACTACATTAGGTTAAAGACTTGCAATACGACCACGCTGGCTCGACATTCGTGGTAGCATGCCTTCTGGGATCGTGTCGATTGTCGTGAGGGTTGCATCAAAGCATCAGTATGGTGAAAAAGGCGCTGAATTTCTGGACACTTCTGGCACATCTTTCAGTTGCCCCTTTTCTTGAAAAAGGAATGGAATTTCAAGGCACTAAAAGGACTTCGTTCAGTAACCCTGTTTCCATATGGGGAAGAGGGCACTGAAATTCAGTGCACTTCAGGCACTTAATCCAGTAGCCCTTTTTCTGTATGGGAAAAGGGCACTAAATTTCAGGGCACTTCATTCACTAGCCCTTTTCCGGTGGGGAAAAGGGCATTGAATATCACGGCACTTCAAGCACTTCGTTCAGTAGCCCTTTTTTCTGTACGGGAAAAAGGGCACTGAATATACGTGCCCTTCATTCAGTAGCTCATTTTCTATATAGAGAAGAGGGCATTGAATTTGAGGGCAGCCAGGCAATGCTTGACGCAGGCATGCCTGAATGCTACTTCTTTCTTTTCATCGCATTGCTTATGCTCCCTTCTGTTTCCTTCCTCCATGCCGGGCATTGGAAACATCGTTTCATATGTTTAGCTGCACAGTACTTTAATTGCTACAGGCTACGACAACCATGCATTCATATCCTGCCAATAATGAGTGAAATGCGGCAACGTGCACTGACATGTTCACCTGAATATGAGATTACCGTATCTAGAAACGGCTGATCGCCAACAAGCCCACAGTTGCGAGAGCATCAATTATTGGAAAAATGGCGAATGCAAATATGCACGTTATCAGCCACATCTCTGTACACTAAAGGTTGCGCTTGGTTTTGCAGAAATTGTGCCGCCACCAAAATTTGTGGCTCATAAACGCTTCATTTAATAGTAGGCTCTCTTTAAAGGGGTGGTGCCACCATATTTGTGGCTTGCGCATTCTTTGCTGCAGGCGTTTCTTATAGCTCCAAGAAGCGTGATACACGCACCAAGATGCCCCGCCGTGGTGGTCTAGTGGCTAAGGTACTCGGCTGCTGACCCGCAGGTCGCGGGTTCGAATCACGGCTGCGGCGGCTGCATTTCCGATGGAGGTGGAAATGTTGTAGGCCCGTGTGCTCAGATTTGGGTGCACGTTAAAGAACCCCAGGTAATCGAAATTTCCGGAGCCCTCCACTACGGCGTCTCTCATAATCATATGGTGGTTTCGGAACGTTAAACCCTACATATCAATCAATACACGCACCAAGATTAATTTATTCTCGTTGAGTAATTTCTTATTTTGCAAGTGAGTTCTGCAGAAACCCGCAAGGTGGTGGAAGGGTTAGGAAAGGAAAAGAAGACAACCACCTGTTTGTAGTGCAAAGGCACTGCAAAATCTGTACAGGTTTCTCACAAAGAACTCTTAGTTGCCGAAAAATGGAACCTGAAGGGACCAGGAAAGTATGTTTTATTTAAGAGGAATTCAGTTTCGCTGGGAGATGAACAGGGGTGCAGAATTCGAGTGCAAAACCTATCTTATTAGACATTGTTGTTTCCTCTAAACAGCAGTGCCAATGAAGAAATTTTCGTTTACCGAAAAGTTATGTACATGTGTAGTCAATCTGGCCATTGCACTCTCAGCCAAGACTGAAGAGTGCAGACCCAATGCTTTTGCTGCACTGTACGTAATTGATGAGACATGTGGAGTGCATCTGACAAGTGAGTGACATGATCGTGGAGTCTTGGCGTGAACGAGTAGCGTCATGTTTATTGGCAACCCTTATATAGATGGATGAATGCTACGAGCGTCCCCTTTATAACGGGGCGGGGACATGTGTGCCACCAGGCTCATCAATTCGTGATGCACTGCCATCTGTTGATATTGTTGTACACTGCACCAATATAGTGCAGCCATCTAGTGGTGCTGTCATACACTACAAGATGGACCATGTGTGGCACTTTTTCAACGCGATGCGGCCGCGCGCAAAACTTCTGTGCAGGGAGATAGACAGCAAGATCGTTCACCTGCTCAGTCGCCGCCGGGACGACTGCTACACGTACGAGTTGAATGACCCGCAGAAGTGCGACGAGATCGTCGCACAGTTCAAGGAGGCCGAGCTAAACTGGTTTATCAAATGTGAGACTTTTTTTCTCCCCCTTCTCCTCCACACTTCCTAAATTTATTGAAGCTGCGTTCTTTCTCATTAGAAGCAAGCTTTACTCCAAGATCTGTAAGCTTAAATGGATACTAAAGCACAGTTATAAATTAGTTGACTGATAAATTTCTCTGAAAACCCTTGTGTCGAAGATTTTGTCCCCATGGGTTTAATAATAAACAAGAAAGATTAGTGTCAAATATTTCGCTTTTAAGTTTTCTGCTGAAACTTTCAGTGGCGACGTCTACTTTGTATTTTGGCCACATTGGCTCAATGAATTTTCCGGAAGCTTGTTAAGTCTGTGGCTCCCTCAGAAGACAGTGCACTTAATTTTTGCTGATTAGTATCTACTTAGTTCCCAGTAGATGGCATAGTAGGTGGTGTAGTAGGTCTTAGTAGGTGCCATCAGAAATCTACGACGCTGTGGTAATTGTAGAAACCCCGAGGTGGCGTAGCCACCTGCATTTTCTTTTTTGCAGTTTTTCTCACTTGAAGGAACACTAAAGAGCAAAATGATTCTTCTTGTATAAGTAGAGTAAAATTTAGCAATCCCAAAAACACCTCTCTTCCCACAGCACGACGCTTGACGAACGAGAAAACGTGCGAAAAGAAAATGCTGGTGGAGATGCCACCTTGTAGTTCTCGCACCAAACGTTGTGACGTCACAAATTTCGAAAGCGTCTACTGGGCCCCGGTTGGCTTTTAATCAATAAAAAATAAGTATATCGTCATCCGAGAGCGCCATAGACCCACCGTACGAAAGTTTCAGAAAATTCAATCGAGCCAATGTCGAGAAAATACGAAAAATACATTTTGAAAATTTCGACGTTGTGCGCAGAGATTTTGGCACGAAATTTATAAATGATACTTCAGCTTGATTTTTTTCACTAACAATGAACTTGTGATAGTGCAACAAATGGCATTAGAGTTCTCAGAGTGCAGTTTGTCAGTCTAAACCGAATTATTGTTTCTCTCTAGTGCGGCGATGTTAGAATTCTGAAAGAGTAATTTACTACTAATAATAACAAAACAGTTTTATTTTTGGTGACCTTTCAAAGTTCAGAGCAACCATGAAAACCCGTTCTTGCTCACTTCCTTTGTCAGATGGCGACTTGAGCTTCCACACCACTGTTGTGAATGCCTTCATGAAACAGAAGCACCGGCTCATCGCCGAGAGGCGCAGAGCGCTAAAGGCTCAAGAGAACGGCGAGCTGCAGTGAGCGGACGCCTGGCACATGTCGGCGCTATTGCGTCTATAGCGCGCAAGCGTACGCCATTTTGTCCTCGAGTGTTATAAAGTAGGGTGCCACTTCTATTGAATAAAAAGAAAACTCTTGATGTCTACGTCTTCATTGTCGTAGGTATGCTGTGTTTTGCTTGCCACCACTGTGAGCACCGGTCGCGAAGAGAAGTTCCTCAAATCGACACGATTGATGCCCGAGATGATACAAATGAAATAACGTTTTCCGATGTGTTGTACTTAGGGATCTGTGTTTTCGGATAAATCTGAAAAATCTAAGAAACACTTGCTGGTGAAATTTTTCAGTTTGGTGTCATCCCATAAAGCCTGATTTTAATGTGATGCGACCCTGTTCCTTTCTTTATTGAAAGGCCGTTTTCTATGTGGTCATTGATACATGGGTCTTTTAGGCCAGCAAGAACTTATCGTCATGTGCTCAGTATCTCGAAGATCGCACCTACTGCACATTTAACGAAGAGCTTGTTGCAGAGGGAGGGATAGATGCACGTAGGGCCTTGGCACCACTGGGAGATGCCAAACATTGAATATACAGACCTCGTAAAGCATGCTTGTGTCTATAACAAGAAGCTTTAAGGCTGTAATACACACAAACATAGGTGTTTTGTTCTGAATGTGAACAACAGACGCTTCGCTGTTAGCGAAAACGACGATTGATGGCTGTGGCAGCCACTCGTGCACACGCTCGCGAGTAGCCAGACCTTCCTGATAAAGAACCTTTCACGAAGCAATTTGTGGACCTTTCTCGATGTACAGCACCCCTATTTTAAGTGTAGGAGGTGCTGGGCTTCCCGTCAACCTGGAACTATCGCCCTTCACCCTGACCGCTTTATGTTGACGCACTTTGGAGTTACTGAGTAATAAAATTCAGGAACTCTTTTCATATCTGCAAAATGGGGGCACCAGAGTTTTTTACCTCGACCTCTCTTAATGGTACGCAGAGCATTGCTAATTTTAGACAAAATACAAGACTGTGTGCCTAGGCCCGTTTTCAATTTGTGGTTACTCTTTTAGCACACTAAAAGACATCAAATAGAAAGTAATGACACGCATAAAGTTTCTTGCATTATTTACTGGAGCCCCGCCGCGGTGGTCTAGTGGCTAAGGTACTCGGCTGCTGACCCGCAGGTCGTGGGTTCAAATCCCGGCTGCGGCGGCTGCATTTCCGATGGAGGCGGAAATGTCGTAGGCTCGTGTGCTCAGATTTGGGTGCACGTTAAAGAACCCCAGGTGGTCAAAATTTCCGGAGCCCTCCACTACGGCGTCTCTCATAATCATGGTGGTTTTGGGATGTTAAACCCCACAAATCAATCAATCATTATTTACTGGAGGGAACTGTGGCACAGCAATCAATCAGCCATCGTGGAAAATATGGATAGTGCATCAATTTGCTATGTCTACGTGCTTGCAGCTTCGAACGCACATGCGGCATCGATGGGTTCTGGCTTTTGTATCGGATAAGAGAGTGCCTCTTTGTGAACCTTTTGAGCTGATTCCTATCAGATTGCACAATGCTCCTTGCTAACTTTTTCCTGCCTCTCTGTCAGGAATTGGACGTCAATCGATTTGCATAGCAGTGCAATGCTTCAGTCACTACTAGCAACAAGGACGGTCATGTGTTTGTATTCAGGCAGCAATGAAATGTGGCCATAAAAGTCATATTAAGAGTGGCTGATCACTGACAAGCGCGTGTTTGAAAAAGCATCAGCTATTGGGAAACGGCGCATGCGAATTCGCGTATTGCCAGCGCACCTCCAACGGCCATACTATGTGCTTTCTGGCATGAGGTTTCGGGGGGAGCCAGAACCTGCGAGTCCTAACGAGCTTTACATAAATAAAATTAAAGTACTTTCAGTTTAAAAGGTGTGTCTGATGCTTCTACTGATATCAGCAGCAGCAGCAGACAAAATGAAAGGTGTTCAGGGAAGCTTTCAAAACTTGTGGTCAGCCCGGCAGCTTTTTACTTCTGCTCTTCATCTGCTGTACTTTAAGCTTGACCGAACTGGCCAGTGACGAGAGGGATTGCCGGTTCTGCTTCGGCTCTGCAGCCGGCTCGGCAGATGGCTGCGGCTCCGAATGTGGTTGCGGCTGTTTGGCAGTGACTGTGGAGGCTGCGCCTTCTGGAGCGGCGAGCTTTCTCCTCTGCTTCTCCGCAAGCAGTGCCTCCATGCCTTTGGTTTTCTTGAAGTGCGGGTCGGTCGGGTCGACGTTGTAATGGTGAGAGTCGTACAGCGCGGAAAACCGCGGGTCGGCCAGGTCCATCTGAAATGAGCGTGCACATTTATTCGTTACTGCAGTACAAGAGAAAGATGACAAAGTGGAGACATAGGACGACAGGGCAAGACACTGCATTATAAGTGATAGTACCATCAGCCTAGGGGTGTCATCAAACAACCAACCCACAGACTTCTTCATTAGTGGCCCGCACATGGCTGTCTTCATCCAATTAAAAAAATTGTTCTTAATATTAATAAGTCTGTTCAAAAGCTACACATGTCTAAAGCACTTTTTACTAGAGCAATACCCTGTATTCACCATGTGTAGATACATACAACTGTGAAACAATTACATACCGTTTCAGAATCGGCATCCAGATTTTACACATATACGAAATCGGTATCGAGATCATCTTGGAATCCTGGCACCAAACCCACATCAAAAATGACCCTTATACAAAATATGGGGAAAGTTCTTTCAAAGGGCAATGTCAGCTAACACTTTGTGCAAAGTACACCTCTGCCCCCTCCTTCCCTTACGCTCCTATCTTCTTCACTATCCCGGCCCATGCTGGGCTACATCTCGTGACTAAAGTTCGATAGTTGAGGTGAGCTCGAGACCCCCTGCTTCAGGCAATGCTGAAGAGAGTGCAGGTGAAAGCGCATGCTCCTGCGAGGCATACATGCAACTACTCTGATGTTTCCAGTTAGTTGCATTGTATTGCAAATGCCTCGCACGTACCACCCAACAACAATAATACTATGTCACCGCCGAATTCCAAAAATTCTCTTTCTAAGAAATCGGTATAGATCATCTTTGTGGCTTGTGCTTCAACGTGGATCGTCTGTTCTTCCTGTTTAGTAACAAAGTTGTACCAATTCGGTTAAAGATATCGTGCTTCATGAGGTCAGTAGCGCCACTTCGCGGCATGTTGCTGCATCCCTAGGCGAGATCTTGTACGAAGACTGCAATATTCAGACAATTTTCGCAGTGAAGCTGCATTTGACTAGGTTCTGCCGCATCGTATTCGTACATGGAAGACGTGTAGAACAACAATTTTCGGCACCCCCTCGTGCATGGCCTCCTGACCATTGCTGATGCCCGTTTTGCCAGTGTCGTGATACGCAGTGGCAGCACCTCGTACAGATTATTGTGCCCTTTTGTTTGTAACATACACATCAGTAAGTAGTGCGCTCTCATTTTAAAACAATCACAGATCACCAACTCGCCCAATCAACCATATTGACAAATCACTCTAGCACTGTTATCAGCAGTTGCCGTATAAACTTGCTATGAGACGAAAGTGTGTGGTTCGTTAGGAGGAAGAACAGCAGGAATTGAAGGAGTATCGATGCACACATAAGCACGAATGAACGCAAGAACAACGCCAAGCTGTGGCCTCAGAACGTTCAGCTGTAGGCATTGGCATTGCTGGCTTCCATCTACATTTGAGTGGGCGGGATGTGAATTTTTTTTTTTTTTAATTTGGGTTGTGCAGGTCGTTGTTCAGCAAACCGTTTTTCGCTACAAGTTCCTACCGTTGTCGCACGCGCATGTGCCAAGACTGCAGGGCACCCCTTACCTGGAAGTCGTCGGCAGCGGTCTTTCCTTCCTTCTGGGCCTTCTTGTTCTCGGCCTTCCTCTTGCGCTTCTTGTTGCGGCTTTGCTGGTTCTCTTCCAGCAGCTTTTTGAGGCTGAAGTGGTGCCTTCCGTCGTCCTCTTCATCCATGAGCAGCAGCTCTAGCTCCGCCTGCGTTTATTTATTTTTTTCAGACAGAAATAGCGATCAATAAGAATGATAGAAACCCGAAATGACTGGCTCTAGCGTAATCGAGAGTAAATGTAAGCATGATATATCTGACAGCAAAGCAGGTAACTTGGAGACTATACTAGCCATAATCTTGAGCATTTTCACAGGGGCACTCCGTGTACTAACTACACCGCAGCGCATTGTGTGTTCATCCCCATGGACGCCACTGCTTCCCATCGCTGGGCGAGATAAACCTTGCGCTTTGCCTAGGGTACGCGGCCACGACGCAACACCAGGCTGGTGCGCCGCATGCGACGTGGTTCCATTTGCGTCGTTCCTAAACATCTGAACAAGTTCATATGCTAGTTTAGAATTGTCAAGTTTGTTTAAATACGCTGTAATATGGTACATTTCGTCCTCTCCCTGTCTTTTTACACCGGGAATGTGCAAGGCGGTGTCGGTGCATCGATGTGGCCAAGAGTGCCATGTCATGGCTTGCCACTTTTTCGAGTAACGCGACACACTCCCCCGAAGTGGACATGTCCGCAAGGTGGACGTATGGGGAATAGCTCGCCAGCGCCGGCATGCTTTTGCAAGTAAACCAGTAGTGACTTTTTTGAGGTGACACTAGTTAGCTCTACATTGGCATACGTGTGCGAAAACTAAATCTTTCAAAGTTTAGTGCTGCCACTAAGGGCAGGAAGGTAAACGGAGCACTATAGCAATCTTGACATAATAGTATTAATAAAAACAATAAATAGTGTATTGGAGGTGCCATTTTGTCTTGCAACAGTCGTCACTTATCTTGTGCGCCGTTCCTGCGTTATCACCACACACATCTGTTTTCATTGTCACTAATAGACAAAGACTCCTCAAATGAGTGCACAGTTCTCAGAGTGCAGCCAAAGTGGATGGCAATAAAAAAATGAGGCTGCGCAAGCCGGAGACGAAACGGTCGTACAAGATTTGTCAGGTCGCACGGGGAAAGGATCTTAGCGATCTTGAAGAACACATGTCTGGCATTGCCCCGGAGTTTGTATATGGTCAATGCTCGCGGAAAAAAAAAAAAAAAACAGATGCAGCAGGCATAAAAATAACATATTTTCAGATGATAATTCTTCATAAACTCATTTATAACACTGTTTCGAAGGTAAAATTACCTTCATTTACTTCATTATATGAAAATTTATCATCTAATGCTGTATTTTAAAGGCAAGGTTCTTCTTTATACACTTCAATATATTGAGGTTAGACTTAGAGAGCCGCAGGAGCTGACAATGACGCAGAAACAACAAAATTGACCACGTAGCATCCACAGTTTTTGAGCTTTGTAAATGGCTCTACACACGCACCTTGCCTTTCGTCGTCTCTTCGTCCTCTGCCTTGTCTTCCACATTGGATCGCTTCCTCCTTTTGCTTTTGTTGCTCTCCTTCGAAGCTGTTTGGTTCAGTGCACAGATGAGAAGAAAACAAACAAAAAAACGATATTAGCTTGGGTTCAATGCATACTGAAGGCCTCTGATGTGCTTTACTTTTTGACTCTGTACTCATAATAATAATAACAATAATAGTTGGGGTTTAACGTCCGAAAACCGCCATATGATTACGATAGACGGCGTAGTGGAGGGCTCCGGAAATTTCGACCCTCCCAGAGCTCTTTAACGCGCACCTAAATCCAAGCACATGGGCCTCAAGCATTTTCGCCCCCATCGAAAACCCACCCACTGCCATTCCGTGCTTATCAAAAGGGGTGCACAGTTGACAATGCTTTTGTTGCTCAGCGAGTGGGCTTCCTGACAAATGGCCCCCGCAATACCTGAATACCTGTCCCCCGAATCTTGACTTAGAGGGACCATGCAACACTCTTCCAAGAAACAATCGAACTACTTTACTGAGGCACCTTACTGCCTCACGAGTTGACTGCCGCAAGAACTTTTAGAATCTGTCGAGTACAATCAGATTTACGGGGACTCGATGCACGCTTTGAGATTTTTTCTCTGCTTTTTTGCACCAGCAAGCACACCGACAGCTACGCAGGGGCAGAGAAGGGAGAGATGACAAGGGGGGCAAGAATTTGGGGCGCTTGTCAGCGCACCTCATGACCTGTGGTACTTTCTTTGCTTTTTTTCTTCAAACGTGCATTGCACCATTAGTCTGGTTGCAAACGAGCACGCGGGAACATCATAGCGGCCACGGATCCCAAATAATCAAATTAGGAACAGTTGTGGAGTTTGTGTTTACAAAGCGGTAATTCTGATTTATGGCAGCGTTGGCCAAAAGAAGAGCGAGCAAATTCTGTCGGACTTTGAGAAATAATAATTCCAGGCTGCGTGCTGTTCCAATAAAATTTGACTCGCATGATGTCTGGATCGTTGACTACCAGTCAATAGAATTTTTTCAACACACTAAATAAATGTTGCAGGGCCCCTTTAATGATGGGCCACTGAATGTTGGTCTGCGATCCCAGAGGTTCTGGCCATCTGGATGAAGATCAAATAGTGTTGCCCATGTGTGAACCATAAATTTAAAAAACGACTGGAATTTTTCGCATCTACATCTGACAGTCACGCTTCGGTGGCCTCAGACGCTGGAGCACTGTGCTGCAAACGGGAACTCACGTTTTGAGGGCGCATCCATCTTGAAGAAATCGTCACCCAGGTCAACATCAGAGGGAAGCTCGTCGTCTGAAAACGCCTGCTCCGACTGGCTGCCTTGGTCTTCGCCTCGTTCACTCTTCTCTTCGCCAGATTCTTCCGCCTCAGCCCCCTGTAACACCAAAGGGCACGGCGTCGCTAATTTAGACAATAGACATAGAAGACAGTATGCTTGGGCTCATCGTTAATTCGTGGCTGCTCTTTTCACGCACTAAGAAACACGGGATGGAAAGTTCCACCACGCATAAAGTTTCTTATATTATTTACTAGAGGGAACTGTGGCACTGCGTTCAATCAGCCGCTATAAAAACGATGGGTAGCCTAGACTTCTCTGTAAGTATACTACAGGGAATCATGGTGCTAGCGCCTGCATGGTAGCAGCAACACATCGCGCTTCAGTCAGCATGGGAATGATGGGTAGAACACAAATTCGTCTAATCTTCATACTTTCAGCTCTGTTTAGCTTCGCATGGCTTTTAGAGCTGCTTTGTCATAAAATGAGAATCGGCAAACGTTCAGCAGTCGCACTTTACCACCTTAACCCTTTAAGCTCACCAATCGAAATCGGGTCATGAAGTTCCCAACGGTCCATTCTTTCATTCGAAATGAAGTCAAGACACAGTGATAAACAAAGCCACAAGTGCCTTCAAAGCCAGCAAGCACAAATACTAGGCAAATCCGTGTATACCACTCACCGTTCTTATGGTGGCTGAACGACCGTAGTGCCAGAGTCCCTTCTAGTTAACTCAAAAAAACTCTATGACGGGTATTACAATGCATTGCTTACGTAGTCTTCGTGCTTGGAACTTTGAACACACATGTGGCATCGACGTGTTTTAGCATCTGTTTCAGATGAGAGAAAGCCTCATTGTGAACCTTGCGAGCCGATTTTAATTGGTGGGCCTAAATGGTCGAGGTGGTGAAATAAGACTGCCGAACTTTCTTAAGAATTGCCAGTTTTAAAAGTAAAACAAAAAAGTTTCATGTAGTCAAAAGAATGAGGCTTAGGCGCCTCTATGCACTATATATGCAGGCATTCTCATACTGGCTGCAGAGCCATTAATTGCAGACACTAGTGCCGGATTGCCCTCTATTCTGTTATTATGAAACTCCTTCGACGACATGCACAAAAAATTAATTTGAGATGTTTGACTTGCTTTCCTGAGCTGTAGACCTATTAATAGAAGGCAGTAGCAGCTTATGCATTTGTATAAGTTAGCACTAATTGAACAGTATAACAGCAATTTTAGTGCCCATTTGGATTGAAACTCAAAAACGAAATGACACGAAGTCCGTGAAACGCTAGCTGCAAGATCTTGAGATTAGAGTGTTTTGAGATTAGGTTGCTGTGCATTTTGTTAAAACAGAACTCTGTTTTCTGAAAGCCTGGTCAATGGCACACTAACACACTTGTTGCCCAACCTAGCAGTATTTGCCACTCCAGCTAGTTGCGATCTGAATAAGGGAGTGCACACGGACACTAGAACAGGAACAGGACAGTGTTTGTGTCTGTGTACGGAGCTTAGTCAGTTAAAATATGAACCAATACCAACTAGCCCAATTATACCTGCTACTGTATCTTGCGAGCATTTTTCGTAGGACTTCTTAGCGAACTGCACTGTGCAAATAAAGGGGCTCACACCAGCAGTTCCTGGAGCACAAGGCCATATAGACCATGCCTCAGGTTTAAGCATTGCTCTTGCAACAGCCTGCTTAGTTCAATTGTGCACTGACCCAAACAGCCGAGTTCTATTTGCAGCAAAAGCCACTCCCCCGCCAAGATATTCAGCGGCAGTATGGAGTGGGACGTGCAGGAGAAACCTGCCGATGTCAAATGGCACATCTTCAGCTTTCACTGCATCACCTACAATTTTTCTCTCTTTTTGCCTCGTGTTGACTCTCACTTCTGTCACACGAGACTCCCGGGGTCGCGCTGAACCACCGACAGACTGGGTGTTGACCCAATCTGTCATGTGACATCTAAACACCCACGCACGGCCTCAAGATAACTTCTGGTGCTACCACTCCTAGTCTTGACGAGACAGTCGACTCACGAGTGCGCTTGCTGACCTGTGTCCACTTGAAACTGCTCACGCAGGAACCGGCACCACTGAACGACTTGCGCAGATACAGCTTTCAGCATGCCGTGCTCGGCGTATTAAAGCTTTCCCGAAGAACGCCAACACGGCCTCACCTTCTTGCCGAGACTTCGCTTCAGTTTGCGCTTCTCCTTGCGTTTCTCCAAGAACTCCTGGAAGGGCGTCTTGCCCTCGGGCTGTTCCTGCTTCTTCTTGACGAGCTCGCCAACCTGCTTGGTCAGACCTGGGTTGCGTGCACACGGGAAGACAAAGCGGTTAGGAACTGAGCAGCGGATGGCGCGCTAAACGCAGCACAACACTGCTTACATGATCATCACCAATACATTTTCCTACATGAAATGTTCTACATGTCGGATCCCGGCAATGAATCTACCGATTCCTGTACATTATAATCTTCTTTCAGTCGCTGTTCCAGCAATGTTTCTGCCCAATAAATTGGAAAATTGCAATACAATGTAATACATTGCACTGCCTTGTGAAGCGTAACACCTTTTCCTTCATAGACATGTAAATCGTGAGGGCTTATGTACAAAACCAATTACTTCATGACCAATCATGCACGTTGCTAGTCTTTGTTTACTTTCTTTATGATATTACCTACAGCCACATGGACTATTGGTTAGGGTATTTCATGTGCATTTCTCACAATTGGATCTTAAAGAAACAAATTTTGATTTTATTTGATCTGAAACCGTCCCTGCGCTGGATGTGCTGAACAGGTAAGTCAACGAGTATGGCAATGCATACTTCCGCAAAGCCACACCAGTGCTGGAAACTAGTCTGGTTCGCCAGGGGTGCTAAAGAAAAACCAGACTTCGATCAAGAACATCTTCAAGACTTAAATTGATTAATCAAACACTCTGTGGCAAGGTGTGAGCAACGAGTGTGTTTCATTGTTAAGCAGGCAGTATTTTCTCATTTTTAAACACATCCAGACACTCTCGCCTATTGCTGCTTTCCTTCACAGTCTAGCCCACATATGTAACACCGAATGATTGTGTATAGTTATAAAAACCCCGTCACTAGATTTTCAATATATAGAACATTTTATATATTGAATTGTCTATTTGTGGCCCCGCCGCGGTGGTCTGCGTGGTCTAGTGGCTAAGGCACTCGGCTGCTGACCCGCAGGTCGCGGGTTCGAATCCCTGCTGCGGCGGCTGCATTTCCGATGGAGGCGGAAATGTTGTAGGCCTGTGTGCTCAGATTTGGGTGCATGTTAAAAGAACCTCAGCTAATCGAAATTTCCGGAGCCCTCCACTACGACGTCTCTCATAATAATATGGTGGTTTTGGGACATTCGTTAAACCCCACATATCAATCAATTGTCTATTTGTGAGTGTGAGTGTGTTTGCAATGCTATGGCACCATGTGGAACTCTCAGTAAGCGGCTCAATACGAAATGCTGTGGCCAAACACGGTTGACCAAAACTTGCTGAGTGAAGGCAACTACTGTCGCAGAAAATATGCCGTGATGGCGTCCCGTGCATTGGCACCTCTGCCTAGCGAGAGACAGCATACTGTCCGCACTACACTTCGCATTGACAACTTGGGAGTCCGTGACAGAAGTGGAGGTCTCAAGGCGCCTGCTACCACTAGTACGGAAGCGAACCAACCGACATTGTGCATTCCCCTTGCTATTGCAACGCATGCGCGAAAAGGAGATGGACCTTGGCCGAGCTTCAAGGTGGAACTCTCGCACGAAGGAGTTTCTTTGGGTTCGTACCAGGAGGAAGAGCAGAGCTACCATTTTAAAAGAGGCCAGCACTCTTAAAACGCAAATACCCACGTAGAAGAGTGGAAAAACAACTAACCGGGGTTCCACGTGACCTCCATTTCGACGTCGTCTTTTTCATCCGTCTTCTTCTCTCCATCATCGAGGCTCTTCAACAGGTCGCGGTACTTCTGGATTTGAGCTTCCTTTGTATCCTTACCTGTGTGAACAAACGCGAGCACAATGACGCTCATTTCACAAGTTCACCAATGTAAAGTGACATGAATGCTGCAATCAACACAGCAAACAATGTTGTGATATGGTCACGTGGTAGTGATGGTGTAGAGATGGTGTAGAAGGCGACTGTTTTGATAAGACTGATAACTAATCTATTGGCAAGATTGTTAGCTATTTGATAAGGCCTGTGCCGAGTAGTGGTAATAGCCCTCCCCCCCCCACCATTAAGTGCCACATATGTCAGTAACTCGAAGTCCTTGTGAAAGCAGTATCTGTTAACTGACTGCCTGGCCTTTGCTGACTGGCCTTCGTGTGCTTTGCTAACTGGCCTTGGCGGACAGACCTTTACGGCCTCTACCGTGTCACCTGTAGTTAGTTTTACCTTGTGCCTGATCTACCTCCTCTTCACTTTCCCCGGATGATGAAGCCAAGTACACGGTGAGGTCGTCGTGGGCCCCATCCTCTTTGAAGGCCCGTTGCATGGCCTCCGTTCGACGGGGGTCGTCCTCGTCCCAGGTCAACTGCACGTTGACCGACTGGAGTGCCGGGGTGACGAAGTTCAGTGGCTTGTAGCTCTGGGGATCGGGAACGCTGTCGGCGACGCTGGTCGGTTCCTAGAAATCAAAAGGAAAGGACTGTGCACTAGCAATCGTTTGAGAAAGCTTAGCTTTGCCTTTTGGCAGGTGCACATGCGAAACAGAGTCCCGAACATCAGAACTCGTAGAAAAGATGCAAGAGAAATTGCTGATAGCGAGAGAAATCAGTGCTGAGGCATACAAGGGACGTTCACAGAGTTTGTATTATCAGTGTGATAGATTTATTAGAGGCATCTGCGATAGTAGTCACAATGAAAGTGTAGCTGTGTGCTTTCAGCATAACATGAAACCAAATAAGCGGAGAGTGAGTGTTCTGCAAACTGTGCTGTGTGACAATGTACAATTACGCCATTGAACTGCGTAGCACCTTAAATAATAACACTTTTTGTTTTCCTGTTGTAAAGAGGGGTTGCCCACATCTTCATTTGAAGTTATTTGCATTTTGGTTTGAGGTTATTTGAATTATGTAAAAATTTATTGTGTCAATATTTACAATATTGGAGTGCTAAAACATTCTTTTACCTGCCTACTTTTGACAACTGAAATGTGTGTTTTCGATGCATAAAATTTCAGCCTGTATTTGCCAACCATGATGTCCCCCACTTAACTCACCTCGTCAAACGTCATGTCGTCGGGGACAAACCGCAGGTCCAGGCAGGTCCCACTGCTCTCATACTCGCGGCCATCCAGCTCCCGGTAGAGGTGGTCTGCCGTTTCGGCCGAGTCGCACTCGGCAATGGCGTAGTAGTAGCGCAGCCGGTTCAGCTGGTACTGGCGCAGCGCTTCCCTGCAAAGCGGCCAGTGGGGGCCAAATCCGCGCCCGACTTCAAGCTTCATCTCTTCGGCAACACTACGTTCACTTGAGCTTCGCGAAACCCACGTGAAAGCTGTTCCATTTTCCAGTCGTCGTTTATGAGAGATTCATCCCTTAAAGGGGCCCTCTGCAACACAACACTTTTTCAGCGTGTTCAGAAAGCACAGCTGATTGTCGGTCGAGACCACAGAGAGCACATGAGCCAAATGTCAAGGCGGAGCGCATGGCCTGGAACCTACAAATAGTTCTCAAAGTCGGCTAGAAATTGTTCACTCTTCTCTTGAAAAATTGTGGCAAAAACCCGAGCGACCATGTCAAAACGACGAGTCCAGGGGCCACTGGCTGATTTGAGAATTGTGGGCTGCATAGTTAACGCAGTCATTGTGGCACGCTGCAACGTGCCTCGCTGCAGCGTGTCACAGTGTCGACAAGCAAGGAGTATGCCCACGTTCTGTGAAAGCAAGATACACAGGTGCTGAAGGTCGTGATGCATGCTGACGTAAGGACACAGATAGCTCCCTTGTCTGTCTCCATCACATTCTTCACATTTTTAAAAGGGTCCTGCAACAGTTTTCCAAATAACCATCGAATGGCTTTTTTAAAAAGTCCGTTGCCTCGCGAATTGACCGCCGCAAAAATTTTTCCTGACATTGAGCACTTTCTTTTTTTTTCTTCTTCTTCTTCGACCGTGTGCCTTACCTTTAGCGCTCTGGCACGTGGTGGCCTACCGCGGCAGCCTTGGTAACGCTAAAACCAGCCAGAAGCCACGAATTTGGGCATATGACGCAGCCGTTTGGGTAATGGCATTGTTCGTAGAAACAAGAGGGTTGTAAATTGCAGGTAGCGTGCTGTGCTATAATGCTTCGCTCGCGTGTTCTGAGGAGCCTCAATCACCGGATGGCAGCGCTTTTTCACCATGCGGAAAAAGTGTTGCAGGGCCCTATTAAAATAAGCAGTTCATGATGCATATTTTGAATTAGAACTGACAGCCGATCAAGCAAAGGAAAGTATAGATGTTATTTGTAGTACATGTAATATAAATGTGAAAAAATTAAAGTGGGCAAAAAGGCAACTTTCCGCTGGCAGGGACCGAACATGCAACTTTTGAATAGACACTGAAACCTTATTATAAGGAGCCCAAACATAACGAAATATCAGTTATGACAAAGTAAATAAAAAATTGTCTAGTAATAAATGCAGTTAGGAATATACCTTTAAACAGTTTTTCCAATATAACAAACTCATTTTTGTGTAATACACCCAATGCTGTACCAATTGAGGCTACGTTAGTGGTCACTTTCCTGTCCACTTCATTGGCTGTATTCCTGCTTGCATGCATCACTTAGCAGGTAGTTTTTGTTACGAGCTGGCAGGTGACCAATGGGCAACAACTAATCTTTCAGGCAATAGATGTTCATTGTTTCTTAGCAAAGCTGTTCCACAGGCAGAAAATAAGTTTTCCACACTAGCCTACACGGCTGCAGGCGGTGCTAACACTCCCAGGTTTCGACGCACAGATACAACCTATAAGGTGGATGGGAAGATGACGACTGTTCCTGTGGCTCAATCGGTACAGTATTGGACGCACTATTCGAAGGCTCCGCTGGCAGCAAGTTACCTTTTTATCCAGTTTAATTCCTTGTGACTTATATCACAATTAAAAAACATAATATCCCCTTTTATTTTCTAATCTTGACTCTTATATCTCGCTAATATTGGGCCTACCATAAAGAACAAGCTCTTGGAGTTCCCCTTGTTTTGTTCACTACAGTTGCGGTTAACAATGGCCCCTACAATTTCCCTGGCCTTGTTAACAATTGGAATACACTCATATTTCGATATAACGAACCTGGATATAACAAAATAACAGTTATAACAAAGTAAATAAAAAATATTCTTGGTATGAACATAGTGTTAGGAATAAACTTTTATAAAGAATTTTCGAATAGAACAAACTTATTTTCGTGCAAGATGCCACTTTATTATAATGACGTTTGAGTGTAATTTCGTAGTGTCTGATAAAGAAACAAGGAAATTGGCTTCTTTCGATGAAAAACGATACCCAAATCCACTTGTTATAGTGGAAGCGGCCACTCTGTTCCCGTCCTACCTTCGAGTTTTGGCGTCGACTTCCTCATCGTCTCCGCCACCCTTCTTTGACGCTTTCTTGTCACCGCGAGCTGCCTCAACCAGCTCAGCAGGGCCACTCTCCCGTTCGACAGCCATGCGCTCTTTGCCGAACTCGGATGGATAGACGCTGACTCGCTGCACGACACCGCCTGGAGGCTTGAACGAGTCGAGCAACACGAAAAGGTCCTGGGCGCGTAGCTTGTCCCAGTCGAGGTTGCACAGCGCCAGTCGGCGGCTGACGTCGTCCGACTTAGGGGCGTCGCGGTCCAGCTCGCCCCAGGCCACTTCTCCGTCGTCGTCTTCCAACTCTTCTGCAACGGATACAGCACACTTGAGAGAATGCTCTATATACTTGTGGTCAACTCTTCCTGGTAATGAAACGAAGTCTACAAAGCCTATCCGCATGTGTCGTGCCAATCATGAACGTAGTCCCACATGTATGCCCATATTTTCTGCATGAGATATAAAAAAATACTTTTTTTTTATTTTCTACGTGTGGCTCTTCGAGGCAGGACGCAGCTCACATCTGTGCGATACTCGTATTTGCAGAAACCCAAAGTGACGACTTTATACGTTGTCGCTTTGCGTTTCTGCATGCCTGAGAAAGCCGGAGCCTTTTAGGCGTACTTCGACCGCTAAGCAGCGTCTGTGCGAAAAAGATACACTGATTGCCCACAATCATCGTTTTCCACAGTAGTACAAGACATGCGTCATACCAGACTACTTCGCATAAGAGTACACGTGCAGAAGCGTAACCTCTGTAGATTTTCTTCCAAGGCCTAAAGAAATTGTTTACGAGTATGGTGTAGTACTAAGTTCAGTAGGTTGAAATCTAGCCATTTGTGCCACACGCTCCGAGTAACACTCATTTCTGTTCCAAGCATTTCCGATAAAGAACCTACTTCTGTTTTTACGAATATTCATAGAAAGTTCCTTAAAAACATAACAGGTATGAAAGAACGGTTCAAGTTCAGAGTTAGGTAAGACACGTATGATATCAGCACATAAGTTTACATATGATAAGGGGCAATCAATTGTCAGGATAGTTAACAAAAATTAGTTGAATGAGTTTTTTAAAAAGCAGGGGTGTTTTCTCACGAGGAGCTGGGATTGTTGTGGCATGCGATAGAGCTTGTTTCAATCATACACTTCTTCCTACCAGGCTTTGAAGATTCACTTTGGCAGCGAGACGAAACACAAACTTAACGCACAGAACTCACCAGGGCATATGAACGCTAATGTGTGAGTGCCAGTATCAGATGCCGAAGTCTTCCATTTCTTTTTGTTAACCATAACTCGCACTTACTGCCAAAACAAGTGTCTTGTACGTGTAATATGCTATTCCTCATGTGTGCATTTCCATAATTATTCTTCAATCTACCCTCAACCGGTACAGGGTAATAAATGTAGTATGTATATCCGGCCCTTCAGCATGCTGCCCCTGGTTTCAGTGAAGAACCAGAAGGAAATGGAAAATTAGTAAGAGCCACTATAGTGTTGAGATGAATCAGTTTAGATTGATAAATTGAACTCTGAGAACTCCAATGCCATTACTTTCACTACCATAATGTTATTTGACACAGAAGAAAATCAATGTCAATGCTTCTGTTCTGAGTTTTGCATTAAATTCTATGCGCACCTCCATGCATGTGGCACGTGCATAGTGTATTTTATGTTTTTTGGCAACATTGGCTCAACGCGATTCCTTGAAAGTCGGTATGTGAAGTCGCTGTCCCCATCAGGGGGCAGTGTACTCAAATTTTGCTGATTATGAACAAAGTAGGGCCTAGTAGACACTGTCGAAATCTCTGACATGAGATTTTTTTTGTGTGTGGGATTTTCAATCCAGGTGGCGTCGCCAATCATGTTTTTTGCTTACCAAGTGTTCTATTTGCGACATGCATCGTAATTTGGGAACTGCAAGGGTATAATTTACTAATATGAGAAAAACACTTTTCCATTGTGTGTTTTTTTAAGCTTGCATTGGGACATTTTGAGAAGTCAATCAGATGCACGTATGGTGTTTCCAAGAGAAAAGTGAACAGCAGAAAAAGAGGAAGAAGAAGCTACCTTCGCTGCTTTCATCTTCTTCAGAGCTTGTCTCGACGTTTCCGATGCCACGAGCCGGGTCCCTCTCGGGCTCTTCAGGCTCGTCCGAACTTGCATCCGATTCATCTGCCGAAAAGAAGATAGGTCGACATTCACAATGTGCCATTGGGAGGACATCAGGACTTGCAGCTTACAATACAGGCACCGCGCATGTGTGAGCATGAAAGGTCTCCACATAAATAGCCCCGACCAGAGCGTAGACAACAAACTATATTGTTCGCATTCACCACTGAGCCCTGTCACACCTTTCTTTAATTTCTACCTTTCTATACACCACAAAACTTGCAACGTGGCACAACAATCCTGCTGTGTGTTTTTAAAAATGCCTTTCACGCTTCTCCGGTACCTTCACTGGAATGTGGAGGGGTAGGCACGCTTAGAGAGAGAAAAGCAGTCTCGGAATGAGAGGTTTCATGGGGAACATATTCTCGCAGAAAAGCCAACTTACATGTGTTCCAAAATATATGTTACAGTCGCTTACTATTTTGCAAACTGCCACTCACGTATGCAGGGACAGAAGCTGATATGTGCCAGCAAGGACAGACTGGCCAGAACAACGTTACAATGCCGTAACGTAATAATTCTTGTAAGACATCAGGCATGTTTGGAAAGTTCGGTAAGGAACATATGCAGCCTTTTGTTGGTGAGAAGTGACATGGGTTTGCCTACTCTCCTGCAGCCCCAATGTCCTAACCTACCGTGCTCACTTAAATATTACCACCACTCGTTGCTGTCACCTCATCTAAGATAGTGTTACTAGTTTAGACTGCTGTTCATAAATGCTGCCGAATGTTGCTTAACGCAACCTACTTCCTGAAACGATGGGAACATCATCTTTATTCGATTGATATCCGACCATGTTCTCACAACACATTGACAACAAAGGAATACCAGAAAGCCAAAGTTAAAGAATGGGCACGCAAATACGGACACAAGAGGCGTTCATGCTGTTTGGAGCTCTGTCTCGCGTCTTCGTTTGCATGCCCAGTGCCTCAGTGAGAATATTGATAGTTGCACGTGATGTTGTGGATGCAGATTCTATACGTACCGACACTCCACAATGATGGCTTTGATGACAAACAAATTACAGTCAACTATCTTCAATGTGATAAAGAGGCTGCAGGAATGTCTCTTTAAATAACTAAAAAACCTGCACGTGACACTTCGAAAAAATCTATGTGATATTTCAAACGTCGCGTCCCCCATGCTGGTGGTCCAACATGGCAGTTTCAGTCGGGTCAACACAAGCCGTCTATTGCCACTATTTGTTACTGTCGGCTAGTTTCTGAGTGCGGTTGGTGGACGTTGTCAAATGTTGCCTTACGAAGGCTACTTTCTGCAACATCACCTTTATTAAATCTAAATCCGATAGTGCTCTCGCAATACATATACAATTAACCGAGATAGTTGTTGTCCCCTCACATATGGCTTGAATCCACTCTGATGAATTGGTCAAGAATTGTCCATTTAGAATTTCATATTTATAGCATTATGTAATGATAAGCATATAAAGGAACGAGTGTTTGTTTGTTTGAGCCTAACAGAATTAATATAGCACATAGCCACTGTGGTGGATAGGCGAAGATTTCGTTGTTTTAAATTCAGAAAATAATTTGAACAATGTTGAATCACCTAAAAAGAGAATACTTGGTAATATATCAAACAAACGCTCCTTTCACCGTGCGATTGCGATTGAGTTTATTTTTACCTTCGTCCTCTTCGTCTTCGCTATCGCCTACGGCCTCCGAGTCTTCGTCCTCGTTCGCTTCTTCGTCCTCTTGCACGGAAGCCTTCAATTCGACGCGTTTCGATTCGACACTGTCGTCTTGGGGGCGCTCGTCGCGATCGTCGTCGTCGTTTCCGGACTCGGACGACGACTCGACGGCGTAGAACTTCTTCAGGTCCTCCGACGTCGTGCTGTGAATGGGCCGACCACGTTTGTCCATGACGTACTTGAGTTTGAAGCGCTTGTCGTCGAACATGGCAGCGAAGCGGTTGTCGATTTTGACCTTACGCTGGGACCGCGGCACTCCGCGAAACCGCGGATCCGTAGCGATGTGCTTGAAGCGGTCATCTTCGATCTTGCGAAGTCCTTTCTTCTGCTTCATGTTTACACCGACGCAGCCTGCCAACAACGCACGTGGGACCTCAGGAGAAACCGAAAGCGAGTTGACGTACCGATTCGACGGCGATCTTCGCGCAGTAAAGGCGTAGAAGTCGTTCAGTAGTCTGCGGATAGACGCGGCGCCAAAACGAGCACACAGTCAAATAAACCCGGTCTCCGATTAGCGCGTAGAAACGACTGCAAAGGGCAGTGTACTAACTGCGCTATGAGTAGCAGCATCGTCCGTGGCACGTATTGTGGAGGCGGCCATCTTGACAGCGTGTTCTCGGTATACCTAAAAGTATAGTGTTTCGTCTAGACCCGAAAACGAGGCTATTTTGCAATGACGACGCCAGGTACCAAAGCACACCAATGTACTGCAACGCCGCCTGCTGCTGCAGCGTAGAGTTGCTGTGAGTTCCATGACGCGTTCACGAATTTATGTGTATGGCACACGCAGTGTTTGCGGAAGCTTGCTTCGCTAAGAATAAAAAAAAATGCGGTAAAAACAGCGCATACTAGAAGAGATGAACTACGAATAAATAACGAACAGGACTGGCGCTGCAGCACTCGTCCTGTCTCTTTATTTTTTCGTTCTTCGTCACTTCTAATTTGCGCTGTTTTTACCTTTTACCATGCTTGGCCAACCAGCCCAACGAAACAAACTTCTTGCAAGAGATGGACGTCTTCTCAAGGGAACATGTGTGTGCGTCATGTTTTAAGAAAATGAGGCAGCATTCGCCACATAGCAGTTATTTTCTTCGACGAAAAACTGTTGCTCCACTTATAGAGTTCACTAATAGGGTTCCACTGTTGCAGTGAAAGGAATGCAAAAAGAATGACGAAATCTGCAAAAAAAAAAAAAAAATACAAGTTGAACACACTTATAGATTGCAGCGCTACCTGGTGGCGTTATTGCATGCAACTATGTTTTTTTTTTTGTATTGCTGCACGTATGACACACTAAAAGTTTTAGTACATCACAAATCGCTTGGTGCGGAGCAGTCAAAACATTTTGTTTGTTCATTTGAAACAAAACTGCATAAGTGTGATAAGAAAAATAGGGTGTATTTATTGCGCATGTGTAATATTATAAAAATGTAAAAGTAACGTAGTGAACAATTGAAAATTGCACAAGTTTTCAACCTATTTGAAACATGGCCTTTGAGATTAACCAATACGTTGTTTGTCTCAGAGGTATGAATAAAAATGCGGAGCTGTTGTTTACGTAACGTAACGGTAGACAATTAAAACAAATAATATATCTACAGCTTGTTGTGTTAGCTGATTTCCGGTTTTAATAGAAGTTTCTAAAGGCTTTTGGACTACGAAGTGATGTAATAGAAGTAGATATGTTATGAGCAGATACAACCACCTTAAAAAAAACTCCGCTTTTCGTTTAAATAATCTAAGCCAGTGTAATAACACACGCGCGCGAGACAATGACAATTTAAAAAACGTGTCAACTTGAATGACTTTGTTAATTACACATATTAAACCTCGAGCAAACGTCTGGCCTGCTAGCTCAGTCGGTTAGAGCGTCGTGCTAATAACGCGAAGGTCGTAGGTTCGATCCCTGCGCAGGCCACTTTTTTTTTGTTTCTTTGCGTTAATGCAAATTGTTGAGCAGTTACGATTAATCAGCAACGAGGAAACATGCTCGAAGGACCGAGAAGTGGGAACAGCGGGGTCCAACTCTTTATTTATTCCATCATCGAATTACTCAGATCCATGCAAGCCATGTTACGGCACTATCTATGCGATGTTGACGGTTGACCATAAAAAGAAGGCGTTTCGCTTGAAATTTCAACGTAGCCGAAGCTATGAAACTTGGGATGATGTTAACACGGGAAATCTATGTTTAAGTATCAGATTTATTTAGAAGCTGTTGGCAAAATACCACCTTGTGTACTGAAGTAACTGCCAGAGGCAAGGTTCTGTTTGGCGCACGGAGGAAGGAAAAAGGAAGGAATAACGCGTTCGATGCTCTATTCGAAGGTCGTAGGTTCGATTCCTGCTCACGGCTGGTTATTTTTTCATCCACTTTTCTTTCTTCTTTCTTCTTATTTACATTCTATTGGTTCTAATAACTTCCCCTGTACATTCCTTGGCATTACTGTCTGTTAGATCTCATTAATATTGTGTTAAAACACGGAAAACGCGCCCTTAGGTATACACTTCTTTCCCTTATATATATATATATATATATATATATATATATATATATATATATATATATATATATATATATATATATATATATATATATATACATCCTCCGAAGAAGGCTGGTCCACCAGCTGAAACTGTTGGGATTAAATAAATATTTTATTGTTTTGTTTCCTATACTGCACTATTGTCGAAGTTTATAACTAATATATATATATATATATATATATATATATATATATATATATATATATATATATATATATATATATATAGTCCAGTAGATCCTCCGTGAGTGGTCACAACGTGGTTTATTTCGACGTTTCGGCCTAGAGTCTGGCCTTCATCAGGATTAAAGATACAGTTTGTTGGTGCTCAGCTTTATACAATCTCAAATTGGAGGGCAAGGAAAGAGGAAAAAAAGAGGAAAAAAAGGAAGAAAAGAAAAAAGAAAGAAAAAGAAGAAAAAAGATAAGAAGAAGAGAAAAATAATATACGGTGGACGCCCTTCGGGTGCCCCCCTTCCCTTCACTTCCCCCTTCATCTATCCCCCCTCTCCCCTTCACCTTTCTGATGTCAGCGGTCTGTGTATGTTTCCGTTCACCAACGCATTCCTCCCGACTCAGACGGCCCCTCCTGGCACTGGCGGTTCGGTGTGGGGCAGAAAAGAGCTTTTTAGGAAGTCCTAAGCCTTTAACTACTCGGGGTCCCGTAAACAATTCGTCGTAGAAGGAGGGGTACCGCGTATTGTGGCAGAGGCTGGTAAGCGGGCATTTTAGGAAGTTCTAAGCCTTTAACTACTCCGTGCCCTGTCAACATTTCGTCGTAAAAAGAGGGGTGCTCCGTATTGGGGTAGGCTGTGCAAGCGGGTGCAATGCGAATTCCTTGCCCGCTTCTGGATTACGCGTGTAGTGGGGGCCTCCCGGCTGTGCACAGGGTTGCTGTTGGGCATGTCATATATATATATATATATATATATATATATATATATATATATATATATATATATATATATATATATATAATAGCTTTCAACATACAAAAAGAAGTTATTTCCACTGCCTCTAAATATTATTAATAAAGAGAAACTTAACATTACATGCAATTACCGCGACAGGCACATGCGCGCTGATAGCACTAAATACAATAAGTACCATATGAATTGGCTGCTGTAAATACCTGTCCTATTTTGAAATGTGGGGATACTATGCTGGTATATACCTTCGCCCACGCTTGTAATTTGGTCATTGTGCGGAATGCTGTAGTATAAAATTTTTGTCAGCAGAAAATCCGAGAACCATGACTTGACAGGGTCGCGTTCTTTAAAAAGTCTGTTACCTGTCCCGAGTTTCGTATCAGGTAAGGTGCATTCATGGTTCATTATTCATCATGTCTTCCTGCAAAACACTGCAAGAAAAACTTGTCTTCATTGGAAGAACCTGTGGTTAGTGCACATGTACGTGTTATCCTACATAAGCTGAGTCTTTCGACAATAACTCATCAGTTGCAATACAGCGCCTGTGTTTGCGTCTTTTTAGGTGGGCATGATTGTGTTGTATTGTATGCTGCTTCCTCAAAAGGAAAATAAAGACTAGGTCGTTAGCTACCAGCTGCAACAAATAAAAAATAGCAAGATGCAACATTTTGTTCTTTCAGTCCTTATTTTTCTGCCCCGCGCCCCCCGCACACACACGCACATCAGAGCTATAAGCGTCCAAGAAGGAAGAGGGGCTGTTTACGGTTTCGCACCTGTCATTGCTTCTCTAAATGTTTCGGTGTGAGGGGGTTTATCGGAGCAGCGAGGATATAATGCACGACAGGAATCAAAGGTGAACATTCGACATAAGCCTGTCTGTTTTGGATAGGAACTGAAGGAATGAGAACTCCAACCAAAATATATTTAAGAAAAAAAAAACAGATGTTTTGAAGCTGGTCCGGCTTCTTCCTCAGGGGCGAGAGAATGGCTTCAAGACGTCGTTTTTTTAATATGTTTTGGTTGGACTTTTGTCATTACCTCAATGTACGAATAGAAGTGGGGATGGTGGTAAAGGAAAGGATGGCCCCAGTAGCTTTCGCAATACTTCATTAGGCAAAATATCTTCTCTTTTCATCTTGCTGTGTAATCTCCTATAGCCTTCTCATGACTCTCGGCTAAGCTTTGTTTTGTGCTCGGTAGCTCAGGGTGAGGTGAGTTTCCGCGAACCTTACCTGCCTTCCAAACCAGTTACTGCATGCAAGCTTCCCCTGAATGGATGAATCTGTGGTTGAAGAACAGGAAAAAGACGCTATCTTTCCTTGCGAGAGCAGGGCTCAGTGGCTTGAAGGGAGGGGGGGGGGGAGTGGAGAAAAGAGTTTAGAAGTAGGAAGGAAGAGAAGATTTGGAAGTACATGACGGCCATGGCTGCCAGAGCAGGAAGAGAATACGGGCCGTTGGCAGGGCAGTCCGAGTCGTACGACTTGGAAATGTGGAGCTGCAACCACGTACGCACATACCTATGGCCATTCCCACAAGAAAAAAATGTTCTAGATCACCTTTCTCTGGCAAGAATACAGAAAACTAGCTAAACGAGAAAACTAAAATAAATAAACAACCGATAATCCAACCACCGATTGTCACCACAGCTGCGGAAGGAAGGAAAAACGTAATCCGTGACCTCGGCACCAGCGGCTACACAGAGGCATTTATTCGCAGAACACTGTGTATAAGAAAAGACGTGGGAAACACGACATTAATGGCACTGCAACGACGCCCCATGTCGACCCAACTTGAGCGCAGGGAACAGTCAACGGAGCACATTGGCAGAACACTGTGACACCACTCGCAACATGTTTGCCCCATACCAGTCCCGAAGGCACGGTGTAGAGCTCGTTGCGATTTGTAGTCTTTCTGCATTCCTTGAAGAGCACAAAGAGCGCGAAAGATTGGGTACGAGAAAATTGAGCGTGGAAAACGACCTTGCCATCAAGCCTTTTGCAGTGTGGACTGGAAAAACGCAATGATGGGTGAGGGACGACAGGAACTTCTTACGCGCTTCAAAGATGACTATGAATGGAAAAGTGTTTAAATGGGAATGAAAAAAAAATCCACAAAAACACGGGCGTTGCTATGTTGTGTCGGTA